TGACCAGTCCGCCCTGCACGCTGCAGGGAGCCGGGGGCCAGCACCCAGCTCCTGCCCCGCAGGCCGGAGGGCAGCTGGGCTTCTTGCCTTGCCCTGCCCTGCCCTGCCCTGCCAGCACCGGCCATCCTGCGGGAAGGAAGCTCCCCGTCGTGGCTGCCTTCACGCACTGCACTGCCAAGGAGCGAGCCAGAAGCGCGCAGCCCACCTGCAGCTGGAGCTGAAGCGCACTGCCCCATGCCGCCGGGTAAATATTGACCAGGACACGCTTCCTTTCTCCATGCTCCGGGCTGACGCACACAGGGAGCTTGTCGAGACGAGAAATATAGAAGGAAAGAGGTCTGCTGTCTTCCCATCCTATCTCATTTTTGATCTGGCTACACCCTTCTCCCTCTCCCCCTCACACGCGCTCACAGACACAGAAGGGAAACCAACTGGCTTCCTTTTCTTGGCTGCAGTCAACTTCCTTCCCTTTGAGTCCAGCAGCCAGGGTTAGTCAGAGAAACCTTTAAACTCTGCCTTGCAAACCGCAGCAGAGAACATAAAAGAGACAGAGGCAGCGAGACGGAACTGGAAGCCAGCAGCGGGCTGGCGGCCCGCGTTATCAGTGTCACATTTAAAACCAAAGCTGGAGCAGCCACACACCAAACCCAACAGGAACTGCACACACCCCACCACATGTTCCACCCTGGCCTCAGAGACACAAACAAGTCTTGGCGCAGGAGACATCCAAGTATTTATTTAGCTGTCCAGGGTAAAGCCCACACACCGTCCTTGGGGAAATTACGCATCTGCTAGCACTTCCCTGCCTTCCTCTGGGGGGGCCATAAAAGCGCAGCGTGGACTTCAAGGGCAAGGCATGCTGCCCCGAGCCACGCAGGCTGCAGAAGGGGCATTATGCCGTCTGCGAAGGACATCCAGCAGTTGCAGCCCGGACAGACCATCTCCAGTTACCTTCTGGCATGTGGTGCGTGACCCTGTGCCTCTCTGGGATATCTGGCTCCAGCTCTCCAGAGCCGTCTCCAGAGGAGCTGGTGCCAGATGCTGGGATGCTGCAGGGCTGCTGCAGCACCTCCGGACCAACGTGACCGGCGGATGCCACCTGCCAAGCCGTGGGCAGGCGGGCACAGGCCTCCCCACCACCTCCCAGCACCTCCAGTATTGACACTTTGGTATTAAGGACATTATATAAATAACTAATGTCAACGTGTAATTAGAGAAGGGCCTGAAATAAAGCAGCAGATGAGGCCCCTCTCTGCCTGACGACATAGGACACAGCATGGGAGAAAGAGCCAGAATCAAGGGCATGGAAAAGGGAGCTAGGCACGAAAACTGGCAGTGCCATGGAGGGGCACGTCCTTTGGCATAAAGACCCCTTCCGTGGCTTCAGGCTCCACATTCGTTACTCCCAGTGTAAAGGGACTTCAACAGACTGGGGGGAAAGGAGCTATCAGAGCTAAATAGAACAATACTCTGAGATAAGCAATTTCCTACCCAGGAAACTCCATTTGGGAAAATTCTACCTTCACAGAGCTTTTAAAATCAGCATTAAAATGTCACGAGTACGGGGGTTTTGGCTGAATTCACTGCTGAGGCAACGCAGACAATGCAGAGAAATGTGGGTCTGATTACAAACACGTCCTCCCTGCCCTGATCTAGACCCATCACATGCTGCGTGTTAGGGGAGGAAGAGAGTGATGAGTTTGCAGGGAAAACAATGGAAAAAAACCCCACCATAATGGGAAGAGAAATATGTCCACAGCTTCAGGAGCAAGACTACATTGGCCCTTGCTGCTTCCCACTGCCTGGGACAGACAGCTCTATTTGTTGGCATTTTCTCATGCCTTCTTCCGCTTTGGCTTGATCATCATCCTTCAACCTCGGTCACTGGTATAGCGTGGCCTTGTCTGCCCATCTCTGGCTGATCCCTGGACTCTGGTCTTCTGCTCTCACAGCACCAGCCTTTCCATCTTGTGATCTCCCCCCAATCTGATTCATTTCTCCCCTTCCATAAATTTCTGCGAGGTACAAGCTGCCACATGGATAGCTCAGCCCTTCGTGTCCAGGAGTAGGGAATGCTGAGCTGCTCAGGTACAGCTTCGACCTTGGACTGCTAACAGCCATGAGACCTCCATCGTGATGAAGAGAGAGCAAACAGGGAATTTAGATCTACCCCAGAGAAAGCCTGGAAGTAACAGTTACTCCATGCTGAGGAAGGGGTTAAGTCTGCATTGAAACTCAGAGTGCAGTGAAGCTGTAACCACCAGTCTGGTTTTGCTGGTTTGGGGGCAGGTGGGTGGCTAGGAATTATCACCCCCAAACTATAAGAGGTCTGCATTGTTTTTGCCTAAACCCTTTAACTGTTTTGGTTTTTTTTTTTTTGCCTGAAACTCACTCCCCGGGCTCTCTTAAAATTCAGGCCCATGCTTCCCGAGCAGCCAGCAGCGGGCTCACTCAAAGGTCAGCCTTAGCTGACTTGAAACTCAGCCCGCACTTGCCTGAAACTCTGCCAAGCTCTTCCAAAAGGCTTGTATCCTGGCCTGAGTTTCGGGTTGCTAATCCAAGTCTCACTGGGTTTCAGGTTTCCCTGCAAGCTTTGGCTTTGCTCTACCCAAGAATAGCCTCAGGCCACATCTACTCTGCCGGCTGGACCCTTCCTGCCGGGGCAGGGGTGGCAGCAGGCAGCCACCTCCAATGCCAAGAAAGAGGAGGCAGGGCAAACAGGGCACACAGCTGCCTCAGAGGCACAGGACACAGGCGGGCCCAATATCCATAACCCTGGACTCACCGTCCCTGAGGGGCAGGTTCTGCAACTCCCCAGCTTTGCCTCTCTCCGGGCACTGTCAGCCAGAGCAGCCAAGGGGCGGTGGGGCCACCATTCCCTGTCCCAGCACGGTGCACAGCCAGAGAACCCGGCAGGACGAGCTACAGCCATGTGAGCCACAGGAGCAGCTCCTAGCTGTCGGAGGACAGGCAAGACCTGAACCGGCATGAAACTTAGCATTGCAAAGTTAGCCCGCTGCATTGTTTTAATCTGAAGTATAGCACAGTAATACCAGACCAGTGCATGGTCTGTTGTGGCTGTAGTGTTTCTGGCTCAGGACCAGCAGCCGTAAGGCCAGGTGACCTCTGGCATGTCACAGCCATCTCGCTTTTCACGTTGCTCACTGATGTGAGACAAACCAAGTATGCCAAGCTCTCTGCAAGTCATAGCCAGACAGATAGAGCTATTTTTTTTACAAGTCCTGAAAAGAGGCTGCTGGGCTGAAGTTCCAGCTTACAGGAATCAGAGTTTCATCACTGAATCCAACAGGATCAGTATTTTACCTGTGGAACTCATTTTTCCTGCCATTTCCACTAGATGTCACTTACAGCCAGAAAGTTAGCAGTTTCCCTAGATTTTTAACCTCCTCCTGACGCACAGGTCTATGCTAATCCTAAAAAGGGGACTTAGGTGTCCAGGACATTAGGACTGTAATGGTATTAGAGCAGTCAGGATTGCAGGCTGTAAGGGAGGGGTGTAGGGGAAGCTAACATCTCCTGAGCATCCAGTCCAGCTGGTGTGGTGCCTCTAGGGGAAAGCAAAAAGCCGCGTTCCTTAAGGCTGGAAGAGCAGGGTCTTTGCTAACACTGACTTGTGCGTGTTGGGAGTCTCTACAGCAAGCCTGTCCTGCTTTGTGCTGCAACGGTAGACGTTCAGTGATCCACGCAGGTGGGTCACCAGCTGCCCCGTGTGGGCGTCCAAATCTCCGAGCCAGCAGGCAGCTCTATGTCCACAGTCACCAACCCATCCTAAGCGCTTTGGGGTAAAAGGCCTGTTCGGCCTTTGCACATCGTTGCACGCATGAGGTGCTTGGCCCTGAGTGGGGGCTCAGAGGTGCTGCTGCAATGCCAGGCAGCAATACCAGTAGTCTCCCGACCCTGGGGTCACAGCACGGCCCGGGGC